AGTCCGTGAAGGAGAACCAGCAGTCCGTGCAGGAAAACCATGAGAAGGTACTTGGCAGGCTCGATGGAAAGCTTGAGGAGCTTCAGCAGTCGTTGGACTTGCAGAAGAAGCTCATGAAGCCGCTGTGCACGATCAAGCCGGTTCCCGAAGACGTCATCTCAGTGCTGACAAGCGACACCTTTAGAAACAATGTGCTGCAGCTGTACGCTAGGAGGTCCTGCGTTGTGCTTTCTCAGCTTTTCCCATGCCGGGACCCAGACCACTGGTTCCCTGCAGCAACAGAGCACATCGTCCCACGACAACAATGGCAGACTGCCTGTCTTTATGGCTTCGAAGCCACTGACGCTCAAAACGGACTGCCATTGCTCAAAGACCTTGATCTGAAATGCCAGGCAGGGCACTTCACATTCATCCCCACTGGTTCATTCATGGCCGATTCTGTGGAGCTTGAAATTCATGTTGCCGAAAGTCACAAGAACGTCCGAATTAAGTACAGGGACCACAATGGACTGGACGAGGGACAGGTCCGTGGTTGGAAGCGAGGCGGACGTGGGAAGTTCATCTTATCCGACCTTGGAGACTTGCACAAGCAGATGATCAATGTCAGGCCCAAGCCTTACATGAGAGCCTTGTACTTGAAGGCAGACATGGCTCACGATCAACATCCTGACCTGCCACATCCATCCGACTATTTGGACCACTACTCCTAGGATTGTGAGGCGATGAAAGGAGTGCTGTTTCAGAAGTTGCTAGGCGGAAATGGAGGCCAAGAGCAGTCTGCCATTGAAGCGTCCTGAAAGGTGTTTGGAAGAACAGACCTACGCCCTACGCGCCAAGATTGACAGTGATGCCGGGCGCGGGTCGCCTTGTCGACAAGAGTTTGTGCAAAATTCTGCGTATTGGCTGCGAAACCCCTAAGCCTAAACCCCTAAACCCTAAACTGCGCGCGACAGGTGCACGACTTGCTTCAACCATCCTATACAACAAATCTTTAAAAGTGTGTATCGCGCGCTCACTAAAATTAGGGTGTGCTCTCGTTATGTGATGTTCAAAATTTTGTTCCTTTAAATATGTTTGTATTGCTTCCTTGCTCAGTGCTCCTTCATCGTCAGTGTAAACAATTTTTGGTTTCTTACCCATCTTGTGTATACATTCAATTATACCACTCGCTAAATCTTCTTCGGTCTTGCCATTAATAGGTACAACAAGCATAAACTTATCAAAATCATCAATCGTTAACATTCCTACTCTAAACTTTTGATTTTCCATGTCGTTAATAAAGAATAAGTCAATTTGATACTCGTATGCCGAATGCGGTGCTACAAAGCTGTTCGTGCCTATTGGTCTGCGTTTTTGTTCTACATTCTTCTTAAAAAACTCATTGATATCGTTCACTGTTATACTTTTATCTTTCTTTCTAGCTTCATCTAAGGTGCGTTGTTTACTACCAAAACCAGCCTTGTCAAAATAAACATCATTAATTATTTTTTGTTTCTCACTCATATAAATAAGTAAGAAAATAACAATATTTTTTACAATATTAGTATTTCTCTTCTTCTGGTTCCTCTTCGGGTATCACTGTTATCACCTTACAGTTTTTCATGGCGTATTTCGTCCCTTTCTTTTTACCTCCTATTGCTTCTACCTTCTGTTCTGGTGTCAACTTCACGACTGAAACATCTATGCCATTTTCGGCTATGTATTTCTCCATCTTCTTTTTCTCCAGATACCTACCTCTTGAATCCCTTTTTTTCTCAACATACGCTTTGTCATCACGCCGTTTATTATAATATAATCTATTGTACAATGCCAGTTGCTCTCGGATTTCCTCCATTGTCATATCTTCAGGTTTTGTCATATCGCTATTTATATATACAGATAATATTTCTTTAAGTATTTTGTCTTAATATTATATAATATTTGATATTAAAGCAGTGTGACAAGAAGTCTTAGGAAAACCACTTAAAGAATAAATATTATTAATTAATTAATATATCTTGTAATTTATGACCAAAGCTATACAAAGAAATATCACTGCTTTAGAAGCAGTGTACGATAACTATAAAAGGCGTTTTAACAAAGCAACCAAGGAAAAA